CACCTTCGTGGTCTCGAGTCCTGGTCTTTCGTAAGTAGATTGCAAACCTCAATCTGCTGCTACAGAACCATTAAGGACTCCTCAATTCAGCGCTGGGGAGAGCCACCACTGCAGGGACAGCCTCACATCTGTTGATGAGAACTGAAAAATTGCTGAGCAGCCATCGTTGGTACGGAATGAGTGCTCATTGTAAGGGCCTGGCATGCAGGCGTGCCCACGGCACGATGCCGATGCAAGAGACCATCTTGCCCAGGAGCCATGACAGGTCCAGGATGGAAACGGACCGTTTTGCGTGCACCTGCTGAACCAAGGTCTGGAGTGATGTTCTGGAGAGAGCAGCACCAGTCCTGCTGTAGAGTCTATGATTGCCCCAAGGTGGAGAATTCTTGCCGAAGGAGTGAGATGACACTGTGAAATTCACGGAAAACCCCAGTGTCTGCAGAGTCTGGATTGTAAGTTGCAGATTGTGTAGTGCCCACGAGGGGTACTGCGCCTGGACCAGGATGTCATCGAGGTACTATTGGAGTTTCACCAGGATAGACAGTAGGTAAGCCGCCAATGCCGCTAGGACCTTTGTGAAGGTGCACGGGGCCGAAGCCAACCTGAACGAGAGAGCACTTTACTGATAGTGGCACCCCGACTGCAAGAACCTGAGATACCTGCGGTGATGTGGGAGGATCTGGATGTGCAAATAGGTCTCTGTGTAGATCCACTGACGCTAAATTGTCTCCCCTCCTGATCCCCTGCAAGACCGACTGTAGGGAGGCCATCTAGAAGTGTCTGTACACGAGGCAGGTGTTCGGTCCCTTGAGGTTGAGGATTGCCCTCCACCCCGCTGAACTTTTTGGAACTACAAAAGTTCCAAACTGTTCCGCCAACGGCACTGGCTCTATCGCCTGGATCTCCAATAGATGACAAATGATGAGATCCATCAGGCGACGCCATTCCAGGTCCCAAGGCGGGGGAAGGTCCTGAAGAAGTTTGGGGGAGAGGAGAGAAACTCAAGCCTCAGACCTTCTCTCATCATGGACAGAACCCAGGCATCTGAGGTGATCTCTTCCCATTGACTCGCAAAGAGCGCCAGGTGGCTGTCTATGAGAAGACTTGGATTCGAGTCATTTCCCTTTCTGAAAGGGACAGCTGCCCCCCCTCCCCCAAAAGGGCCGCTTGGCGTGGCCCTGAAACTGGTTCCTGTCCTGGTAATAAGGGCGAGGGGCCTGCCTATCCGGCCTGGAAGAGAAGTACCTCTGGCTCTGATAATCTGGCTCAGGTGCCCTATAAGCAGGACTGCGGTAATACAGGGCCAGGCATGTCTCTGATCATTTGGAGTTGGAAGCCAATACTTTCTTGTCCTTATTCTCTATTAGGATCAGATCCAGGGCCTCCCTGAGCAACGAGGAGCCCGAGTAAGGCACCGCTGCCAGGTTCCATTTGTTCTTGTTATCCACCTGCCAATTGCACAGCCAAAGGAGGTGCCTGGATGTAACATAAGTGGACAGGGCCTGAGACGCATTCTTGACAGAGTCAAACGTAGTGTCTGCAGAGAACTGGGTTGGGGACATGATTTTAGTAATATCCTGTAGGAGGCATTTGTCAGATGCCGGGATATGGTCCTGTAACTGATACAACCATAAGACCGTGGCACGGTCAAAATGGGCCGCCACCGCTGACTTAATGGCCCACGTAGAAGCTTGGAAATTATTACATAAGGTAAGCTCTGCCCGCCTATCCTTAGGTTTAAGCTTATCAACAGCGTCACCCGACACTATGGTAGAGGATGTGGCCAATGAGGCCACAGGCACATCCATGATGGGGACCTGAAGAGCCTGTGCAAAGGCCTGATCTATATTATAGAAGCAATGGTCGTTACTCCATGGATTGGGGAACACCGAAGGCCACGCCCACTGCTTCTTCACAACTTCCAGAAAGAGAGGAGGCACAGAGATGTAGCAGAAAACAAGGCCTGATCTGGATCCCGAGGCTTCGGAGCCCCAGGAGTGCTCCCACACAATTTAGTGGTAGCCCTAGCCTTATGCAGGAGCGTCTTGAAATGGAACGGCCAGGGGATCTCAAGGAAGAGTTTCCTCATCCTCAGAGAAATCCACCTCACGCTGGGCCTCCTCCCCCATGACAGACCCTTCACTGACCATAGCAGGGAAGTGTGGCCTGGAAGCCTCCCAGGAAGAAGCCCTATCGGTAGAGTGCCTGACCTGAGACCTCTCACAAGGTTTCCTGTGGCCCTGAGAATGGGCCCCCTGTTGACTCAGGCCTGTAGTGATGCCCTGAGATATGGCAGAGGCACTGATGCTCCCTGGAAGAAGATCCAAATCTTCCAGGTCCTCCTCAGTGGGCCCCTGTGACTCAGCCCCATGGGGGGCCAAAACGGAGGGGGGAGATAATCTCGAGAGGTGCCCTCCAATGGATCCCCCAGAACATCCCTGACTGCCCTGGGAGAGGGAGGGGGGATGGAGAAATCTACTGCCTATTGTCCCTGGAAGGCCTAGCAGGAGAACCTGGAGAAGAAACAGAAGGGCTGAAGCCCCTGGCTGGAGACCTGGACCAGTATAGTGGGCTAGGCCTAGTGGCACGAGCCTCCTGCTGCCTGCCTGTGTGCTCCCTGACTTCAGACCTAGAAGGGCGCTGGGCAGCAGGCCTGCAGTTATATTCCTTTTAGGATTTTTGGCCTGCCACACTCTCTATTATTTTCCTATGCTGTTTCATTAGTGTAGTAATTGGGAGGGAGAATAGAAAGGAGTAGAATTGTGGAATGTGTTGTTGTCATTCCTTTCTAGAAGCCAAGGTTATCTTTTGTCTCTGCACCTCTGCACTTGATCGGAACCAGCTGGGTGGAGATTCCTGCGTGGCCGAAGAAGATTGGACCATGTGATGGATATATGGGTGTGGGGATAAGATCATGAACTTTCAACTGGGTGGAATCCCAGGAAGCTTTTAGATTTGTTTGTTGCCAACATGTCTGTCTTATTAAATTGGAACTTTGAGG